TTCTCCTTTGTTTTTTTTTTTTTTTTTTTTTTTTTTTGGTAATAGTAAGAGTTGATCACGTAAGTTTCATTCTTTCCTTCGTTTTAAGTATCTGATGGATTGGCACTACCCTGCTCCAAGGAGGTTGGGCATGGTCATGTGACTTTTCCTAGGCATTGAAATCTGGGCAAAAGTTGATTAGTGTTCATTCTGGACAGAAGCTACAAAAAGCCAGTTCATAACTAAAACTACTTTGTTTCCCTCCTTTTTGATTGCCAACAAATTTCCAAACAATGGCTATGATGTTGATCCTCCCAGAATGAGACTTATCATAATGTCTAACAAAATACAGAACTAGAGCAAAACACAGAATTTGAAATTGAACCCTTTTTTTTTAAGTACTGGAGATTAGAGTACTGTCACAATGTAATTCTGTCTTTCCTTTTTAATATACTCTTTCATTGTGTCAGAGAAGACCTTCAGTTCTTGAATGAGAGTGGGTGAGAAAAAATTTCATGTATGTTTAAAAAATGGATTATTCTCTCAAGTCATATTTTATTGTGTAGCAGAATAGTATGTTCTATGTTATATTATACCAATCATAATTTGGAAGGCATTGTTTTGTTTTGCCTTCCACTTTTGCCTGTGAAAATTATAGTGTCTGATTCTTGATACTGAGCCTTTTTTTCCTGTTAGGCTTTTCCTTAGCTCTCATGTTCTATAATTTTATGATAATATACTTTTCTGGAGGAGTTATATCATATATTAAGTTCCTGAAAAACAAATATAATTTCTTCAATAATTTTCTATCTTCCATATTTTTTATTTACTGTTTCTAGAATTCCTACTCAATGGGAACTATCCTTTCAAAGGAAGGGCCTCCAATTTCCTTACTTTCTTTTTTTGTTGGTTGGTTTTCTAACACTTTTAATTGCACTTCATTATCCTTTTGTTCTATTTTCTGGGAAATATTACCATCTATTATTTCAAAGCTTTTTTTAAATGTCTGCCATATCTGAGTTTTGTCAACTGTATTAGCACATTTTTTCTGTTATTTTATTATCTTTCATTTTCTAAGTTTCATTGCCTCCTCCCCACCTCAACCTTCAGTACCTCTTTTTACTATTACTTTAGTCTGTATCTTTCATGTCAGATTGCCAATAGGACTCTACATAATAACTTTTAAAATAGTGTTTATGATTAAAGGATTCTATTGGCATTCTGTTTTCCTGAGGATATAAATGGATATATGAATTCTTTTCTTTTGAGTAATACAATATATTCTGCTTCTGTTCTTAGATTTTGATGCCTATTTTCCTGTTACTTTCAAATGCTTGTTTTTCTATTGTAAAAATATAAATGCTTCAAATTTCACCCTATTTCTTTTAATCCTCTTTTTTATTCTTCTGAGCCTTTCATGTAATTCTATGCTTAAGATTTCTATGTAAGAAATTCTGCGTTTCACATTTCTTTTTTATGTATCATCATTATTCAATCTTCAACAAATGCTAACTGAAGATAATATTATTGATGATTTTTCCAAATATGTGCCTTTCTTCAGTATTTTCATGTTACTATCATCCATACTGAAAACTTAATTACTTGGTTCCACTCTTGTACTTCAACCCTTAAATCCAAATCTTCTCCCAATCTTGGCATATGTTCTTTGTAATCCTTCTCATTTCCAATTTCTCATTCAAAAATACCCTATTAGACGCTTACTGCCTCATTTTTTAAAGGCATGTAAAAATATCTCCTACTTTTTTTCCTGATCAATAAATGACAAGGTACCTTTCTAAAGTCTTCTACTTATACACTTTTATAGGCTTTCTTAACCTTTAACTACTAACATCCTTAGCTCAGAACTGTTTCTGCTTTTCCTATATTAAAGGTATAAAATAGAATTTCCTCAGGTAAATACAGATTACAGATATTTTTAATTTAATCTAAACAGATTTTTTAAAAGTATTTTATGTTGTTAATCTTTTAGACAAGGTGTAATTTAGAGTGCATTGAAATATCTAAATATGTATTCTGTAAAGTGTCATTAAATATTCTGTTCATTTCAGCATTTTATGCTGATAGGAAAAACCTTAGTTTACACATAGTATCTTATATAAAAGAAATGTTTAAGAAGTTGTAAGAATCTATTCTTCCTAGTTGCATAGGTCTTCTTACATAGAATCAATCTTTACTTCCTTCCTTTTAATTTTTTTAATACAAGGTCTTTCTATGTAGTTCAGTCTGGCCTTGAATTCACTATATATATCCTAGGTTAGGCTTGAATTTGCATTGATCCTCCTGCCTCAGCCTCCCAAGTACTAGGATTGAAGGTATGGACCACTATGCTCAGCCAGTTTCTTTAATATTAGAGTAAATATCAAGTATTCATGAGAAATTTGAATATTGTATGGGATCATGGTTTGCAATAAATATTGTTTATGTAAAACAGAATGATTGTAAGTAATGTTATTAAAATGTTCAAAATAAGCTCCCTATTATTATTTTAACAGAAATGACTTCAAACTTTAAATCAATTCCATTTTATGAAATGGAATGGTAATCTCTAACTTGGGTGTATTGCAGCTAGAACTGAGTAGCTTTAGACTGCCTGTGGGTACACATCACATTTGCCAGATTATGTGCAAAGCCTTAAATGGTAATGAGATCAGAAGAGTTGACAGAGAAACTGGGTTTTTGTGTTTCCAGTTCTGGACAGGGCAGCTGACCTCTGTGTGGCTAGCTCCTAGCTCCATGTGGCTAGGAAAATCATTGGGGGGAGGGGGGAAACCTATAAATGAATTATGTGAATAATGAATAAGAAATATGTGTATGTATGTGTATATGTGTATTGAGAGAGTTTCAGGAATGTTTATGCAGCTATTGAAAGAAATAATTTTCAGTCTGAAAAACTTCTTTACCAGCTATATTTTAAAAACAAAAATTTAAAATTACTAAAACAAATTAATAAATAAAGATTTTTTGAATCATATTTTAAACAATTCCATAGGAAAAGTACAAAATAAGAAATATGCTTTCCTATACCAGCTATATTTTAAGAACATGAATTTGAAATTACTAGTTTTAGGTTGTTTTAATATTTAGTATATTTTTGTGAATTTCAAAAGAATTTGTCACATTTCTATGTGGATTTCATATGAAATGTTCATAGAAATGGGATATTTCATTTCCAAATCAAATATATTTCTGTATTTTAAATTTTATTTTATAATTGCAACAGAAAAATCCCTATATTAGGATTGAAGCTGTCCATCTTTGATATATCTGGTACTTATATAGTTACATGGTCCTCTTTTAGTCACATGGTCTCTTTTGGAAGGAAGCTTTGTTCAGAGAGACTCTGTACCTGCCTTCTCGCCTACCATCACAGCCTGAAACAAGCCAGGAAGTTTTTAGACACTTAAAGTAACTTTGAAACTAAGTAATTAATATAGGACAAACTTAAAATTTTGATTTCCTTATAAAATCTTGTGAAGATATTTGGGGGCAGTACATTGTGAAATTTACTAAAAAACATCAACATGATCTTTAAAGCAGATGCTGCATTCGCTTACATGTTCATTTTTTTCAGATTTGGTTTGTTTTCTCCTTTTAGGAATGGCAAAATTCTATTCAGAAGAATGCAGGACTTGCATTTATTGAACTCATCAATGAAGGAAGGTAATTAATTTTACAATTTTTGGACAGTAGCTCAGTGTATTCCATTGGGCAACTGCTCTTTCCTACCATCTGTTCTAAAAATGTGTAAGAAAATATCTTCTAGCTAAATATTTTATCACACACTTAAATGTCAACAATTTAAAATAAACACATTTAGTTTGGGGGGAATGGTGTATATCAAATAAAGAAATGAGATTTATAAAGTTTTTGTGAGATATGAGCCACATCTTACCAAATAGTAATGTTTTATACACATCAAATGAAGCATATCTATAGTCCCATCTGCCACCCCATCTGTTTCACTGCTACACTTAGGGTTCCTTCCTGAGCCTTTCATCAATTCACACAAAGTAGTTTTATCTGAGTATGTCATGCATTCAGATCCAACTAAAAATGAGGAGTTTAAATGTGACAAGTATAACGATACTGGATAGGAATTATTTATATGATTGTTAAAATACTATAACTAAAAGTATTTTTGAAAGAATTGTGAATTTATGAATTTGTGACAAATAGTTCTTAACTATGATTTTTAAAAAGCTTCATGGGCAGTGGATACAATAAGATAGATGTAACTGCCTCTCTTTGACATGTTTTACTTCAATGAGCCCAAAATCTGCATCCTTCACACCTTGAAAATTCCTGTAAAATATTGTGCATTCTGTAAAAAATAGTTAATGGATTTTTTCCATGACCTGGTGGATTTAATTAGATTGATGAGTGAATAATTCTTATTGTATGTCCGACTTAGCTTTTTCTTCAAGGGAGGTATCATGAAAGAATGCTCTTTAAAAAATAATATATATACGGTAAATAATCCCAGTTTTTTAAAAACTTTACTTGTATGTTTCAGGATTATTCAGTATTTTTCAGTGTACCATATTCTGAGAAGTAGGCTGTTTTTCTAACAACTCATCTGTATATTTTTCATTTTGATATTTCTCTACCTAATCCTTTTAGTTACTAAACAATAATAATAATAATAATAATAATAATAATACCATTTTAAAATTTAAAATAAGCTTTCCTTTTACTGTGATATTAAAGATGCAGGAAAAAAATCTGTTGGGTTTTTTTTTTTTTTTTTGAGACTTTTTCTCATTGTGGAGTTCTAGCTGGCCTTGAACACTCTATGTAACCCAGGCCAGCCTCAAAATAATAGCAGTCCTCTGAGTGCTGTGATTTCCTATGGACAAGAACAAAGAGGTGTAAAAAATAAATCTTCTTTTGCAACTCAGAACTCATTGTTCAGTATGAATTTTGATCCACATAAGAAGAAAGGTTATACTATCTAACACGGTTTAAAGTTATGGTACTGTGATAACTCTAAAGATAGGTTCTAGGACTGAAAAATTGTTCCTTAAAAAGTATAAGATAAGGGAAATATTAGGTATATTATTTAGTTTTGCAGTTTTCATTTTGACATGATACTGATACATGAAGATGGCCTTTTTTATGAAGAGCTTGTATCTTGAGAACATGATAACTGGTGTTCAAAGTACTGGAATATGTATCTCACATATCTGTATTAATTTTGCCTGTGATAGTTTGGGAATGAATATGATTTGAACTCATTAATGGAAGAATGAGCTGTCAGAAATTGAGAACCAGACAAATCCATCTACTCTAAAAAGAACACTGAAATACATTTCCTTGAAGAAATTAGGTCTCAAAGATCACAAGTGGGCAGTTTTGAAATATTCTTCACTATGGCCATAACTTAAGTGGAGATGATTTTTAAAAAGCCCAAATGAAAGAACTAAGGCAAGGTTTTCTTAAAGGTAAATCATGGCAATGTCCCAAGTTCGATCCTTGGTACCAAAGAAAAGATAAATCATGACTGCAGCTTTAGAGAAAAATGACCTTGATGAGCACTGTGAAAGAATCACATGTGAAATTCTTAAATAAAAATGTATTGACTTTAAATATTAAATAAATAAATTTGTGTTTCTTCATAGCAGTCGTTCCTTCATAAAGGGTGATTTTCAAATAAAAATTCAAGCATAAATAGTTATAATTTACAAGCACAAATCATGCATGCCTGATGAAATAATCTGCTCAGCACCTACTGTGTACCACACTATTATAAAATCAAGAAATACAGTAGTAGGCCAGTGAACAAAACAGATATGGTTAGGATTGTGGTATGTAACAAAGGAGACAAACATTTGAAAAATGCATATACAATAATGTTTGCATGCTGTAATAAAGATGTTGTAAAGTATTGATCCAGTTGACCAATAGGGCACCCAAACTAGTCTGCAGGCATGTGTTCCACCAAGTAGTAGAGGGTTGGTATTTTCAAAAAGTGTATCTACTGAAATGAAAGAGAAAGCTTTCTTGGATTAGTCCTGGAACATAATTAAGAGATAGTCAGTGTGCAAGGTGAAATAGGAAGAAAAGGGCTAAAGGTGTAGGGAAAGTTGGAAGGGTAGGGGATAGGTCATAAGGGAAAAAAATACATGAGAAAATGAAAAAATGGAAATAAAGTGTTTGTAAATGGGGAAGGGAGGAGGGGATGGAGGGAGGGCCGGGACAAGGGGAAAAAATGAGAACCAAGACCTGTCATGTAAAGGTGCAAGGTCCCAGTGATGAATGTAACTGTACTATATACCTAAAATATACCAACAAACTCAATGAGAGAGGAAAAAAAATGAGATAGTCAATGCAAGCAAGCAGGAATGTACTAATTAGCCTTGCAGTGCCTCGTCTGATGCAAGCAAGCTATCCTGTGTTGGACCCTACTCCCCCAAATCCACCAACTCCAAGCTAGCTATACATTTTGCTTCCCCAGAGAATGGGGCAACAGAGGAGTGGACTAAACAACCAACCTTATCTCTGGATAAGGACACCTGGGGAGAGAGGGTAAAACTGGAGAGCCAGCAAACCTAGGGAGAAAATACAGACCTAGCTAACAACTTCAGGGACTCCAGTGTTACCCTTCCAAAGTGACTAGGTGAGACACAGCCATGAAAGACATCCTTAGAAATGAAGTGAGCCTGAAATAAACTCTGCTGAAAAGTATAAGCTCAGAATGGGAAGGACATGGCCCCTGCTCTCCATAGGGAGCAACCAGAACTTGCATGTATTGATTGTGGCCTACATCCATCATGGATCGGAGGGATAATCATTTTTTCCATCTACCAAAGGGAGCAAGGGCACACCTTGACTTGGATGGCAACCATAGTTTGTGGTGAATAGACAGAGGGTCCTTTGGTTTAAAGAGGTCACCCCAAAAACCTGTAGATCCTAAGGCTAGATGGGGAAAATCATCACTGTCTAGATCCTAGGATTGTAGACAAAAATCTTGGGAAGAAAGCAATCATTCAAAACTGAGAGGAATTTTTATCATTTAGTTTTCTTTCACTGTTTTTTCATGTGTTTGAGGCTTTTTCCCTGTAGTGACTTTTCTATTTTTCTTCTTTTTTTATTCATTCTTTCCTGTAATTGTTCTCTAACACTACCATGTTAGTTATTTTTCTCGCATTGCTGAGACAAAATACTTGAAACCCAAAGTTAGTGGAGAAGGGGTTTATTTGGCTTACAGTTCATAGGAGTTTCAGTCCATAATCAGCTGGCTCCAAGGCTGGATGGTAAACAAGCATTGCAGAACAGAAACAACATGGCACACGCACAAAGCAGCAAAGGTAACAAGAGAGTGTTAACAGTGTCTCCTTGCCCCTTTTATCTTATTCAGATAGTAGTTTATATTTGGTTTATATTAGTGTTAATATTATAATTATACAGCTATTTTCTATTGTAATTGTTCTTTAGACTTCGTCAATGCCAGTTTATCTTTGATGCTGTAATTGATGCTAATTTTATTACTATAGCCAAGGTCACAAAGCTGCTAATACTAATTGGTTTTCTTGGAATGTCAGTATATGTGCTGCCTTAGGATTATTTGGCAAAGACCAATAGCTATGCCCAGAGGACACTGCTGAAAATTATACATTAACTAAAGAAGTTGCTGAACTGCAAACAAAGCTTTCCACTACAATCAAACCATAAGCCTCAACATAAACAAACAAACAAACAAAAATAGATACACTGGAAGAAAAGCAAAAAACAAAAACAAAAAATCCTCCAAAACTCCCAGTTTCCCTAAACTAGATGCATGGAGTATTTAAAAGGAAAGAAACTAAAAGTGAAACAGACAAATTATTGGAACTTATATCAGGTGTGATAACACACCAGGGATCAATAAGGCATTTGGCAAGCTCACAGAAAAGATAAGCAAAAAGATAATGAGCCACTCAAACAAAATGATCAGTGATTTTACAGAAGATGTAAATAAAAAGCTCACTGAGATAAAAGTTGTAAAATATGCTAGCACAGAAGAGAATTAGAGTCCATTAAAAATTTCCAAACAGAAATTCAGGAGATTAAAAACTGTACAAAATTATGGGCAGCAGAATTGATCAATGTGAGAATAGAGTATCAAAATTAGAAGTGTTTGTTTTTGGTGACCAAGTAATGAGAGATATCGTAAAAATAGTAAGAGAAAATAAAAATGGGTTCAACAATTCCTAACAAAGCCTAATTGGAGATCAGTTGAAATTAATGAAAAGTCAAAAAACAATATAAGGGGCTAAAGGTGTAGGGAAGGTGGGAAGGGTAAGGGAAAGGTAATAAGGGAAAAAAAATAGAAAATGAAAAAATGGAAAAAAGTGTTTGTAAATGGGGAGGTGAAGAGGGGGTGAAGGGAGGGCAGGGACAAGGGAAAAAATGAGAACCAAGACCTGTCATGTAAAGGTACAAGACCCCAATAATTAATGTAACTGTACTGTATACCTAAAATATACCAATAAACTCCATTAAAAAACAATATAAATGGCATAAAAAACCTGTTTACTTAAATAATAGCAGAAAACTTTCTAAATACAGAGAATTTAACATACAGAAAAGTGAGGCATATAGAACACCAAATAGCTAAGATCAAAAAAGAAAAAAATTCATGACACATGATTCTCTAAATCCCAGAAGTCTAGTACCAGAAAATCCATTAAAAATTATAGCAATATTTAAAGTTTTAAGGCCAGGAGAGTTTGTAGCAAATTCTTTGTTTTTGTTTTTGTTTTTTGTTTTTTGAGACAGGGTCTGCAGTTGAGACTGACCTGGAACTCACTATGTATCCCAGACTGGTCTCGAACTCACAGTGATCCTCCTGCCTCAGCCTCCCAAGTGCTGGGATTACAGGCATGCACCACCACTCCCGGCCTGAAGCAAATTCTTTCAAATAGTAAAACAAAAAAAATTTCAGCCCTAGCTGTTATATTCTGAAAAACTAACTTTGAAACTTAATGTAGAAACAAAGATATTTTCATGATTACGAGCATCTAAAGAAATTCACCAAACCAAGGATATCATGTAAAGACACAATGAAGCTAACAATGCCAAAAAGTCTACTAGAATGAATATACCAGGCAGGGTAGAAGGGAAGGATAAGGAACCAGCAACAGGAAAGCAGTGACAGAACTGAGGCAATACTTATAATCTCAAATTAAATTGTCTCAATTCCCTAATGAAAAGACACAGACCTAAAGAGTGGACCAAGAGACAAAATCCTGTGATATGCTGTTTACAAGAAAAATAACCCAAAAAGTAATTCATAGACTAAAATTTAAAAAATGGAAAAAATTTCCCATGAAACTGGAACCTGAAGAAAAGAATTTGAAGCTATCCTGTACTTAGACAAACTGGACTTTAAATGAAAACTGAACAAAAGATTCAATGGTCACACTACATATTTTTTAAGGGAACAATTCCACAAGAACAGATAACAATTATTAACATATGCACCAAACAAGGTCACATCCAACTTAGAATACAAGAACTACTAGAAATAAAAGACAAGATAAATGCAAACACAATTATAGAGGAGGGCCTCTCAATACCCTACCAGCACAAATAGAGACATATCAAAAGGACAAATAAATCAGACTTGAACCAAAGCTTTGAACAAATGGACTTAATGGGTACAGTATCTACAGTGTTCCACCTAACAACAATAGACTACACATTGTTTTCAATAGCACATGGAACTTTCTCCAAAGATGACCACATGCTAGCCAATAAAGCAAGTTTAAGTAACTGTAAAAATTGAAACTAAATCATGCATATAATCAGATTACCCAGAAATTATGGAAATGGAAGGAAACTAAACAGTACACTTTTTAAAATATTTGTACAATTCACATATACATAACGATCACATTCATCATAGGGAATTTTACTTGTACATAATATATCTTGATTATTCTTTTTTTCCTCATTCTTCTCTC